AGATTATCCTCTATTGAAAATGCATTAATAAAATTGTCTTTTGAGTTTTTTCATACACAAACGTAGTTAGTTGTCTCTTATTCTGATCACGTTATAATCATTTATTTATTTATCATGATTTAAGTCCATTAACCTTTGTAAACTGACAGCAATAAGTTGGTTTATCCTGACTAAAGGCTTCATACGGACCACCCTGCATATGTACGTGTAGGTAACGAAAGAAGACGCCAGAACGGGAAAAGCTTAACAAAAGCAAGTTCACTGTTGGAACAATTGTCTTTTTTATAATTATTATGTATTATTATTATTATTATAATTTTGCATGGATTTTTATGATGTTCGCCCCAAACCATATTTTTGTTTTACTTTATATTTGTTAGAAGCTTTGTTTAATGAAAATGCTTGTGATTTCTGTTGACTGTCTGTGTGTGCCGGTGCAACGTGACAGAGAGTTCCCCATAACACAGTCTGCTTCCCGTTCATTTGTACAGACGAGACTTGCCCTAGATTTTGACCCACTTAGATCAGACTAACCCTAACCATTATAACTATATGAAGGGCGGACTTTCTGTTATACGGACCCTCAGTTTCGTTACACCGGCTTCAGTATTTAGTTTTTTTAATGAGATTTTTAAAGAACTTCTCAACGGAATGTATATGAAGACCATTGTATGATCAACGTGGTTATTGTCATTGTTACTTTGTTCCATTTGTTTGTAATGTATATTTGACAGTTTTTCTGTCTAACTTCCAAGTACACCAAGCCACCCTTCTCTAAAGCACCTTAAGCTTTTGTCACTTAGTTCACTTAAAAGCTTAAATGAAAAATAAATGAAGTCCAAGTATGTTGGATCCACAATGGCTGGCGATGTAATTTTTTTTCCAAACCGACAAAACATTTATGGAAAATACATGTCATTTTTTTTACTCGAAAATGTTCAAATACGAGATTTTTCATGAAAAACGTAATATTAGAAATATTTTTCAATTGATTGTTATGCCGATTAAGCTGAATCGCCAGATCTCATTATTTGATTTCAGAATTAGTCTCTAAGTTACGGTATTGTTTAACCAGTGTTGTCCAGAAAATATTTACTCTGCGGCTTTGAATTGGTTGACTTGTATTATCGGTATTACAGCGGGCGAGGCAGTTCGTCAGTTTCAGGAAAGATAGTGGACGGAGAAAATCTTAGGAATAACGAAATAAATTATTAAAGCGCATCAGGTATGTTTGTTTTGGAGATTCTTATTTAGCGACATTCTGTTTTAACTGGCATAATTAATCAACAACATTCATCTCATATTTAATAAGTTTTTTTTCTGAAAAGCACTTAAAATAAAGGGAAATATTTATGCATATAACTGATTTGCTGTTCACACTATTAGATAAATGAATTCAACAAAGGAAAAAAAAACAGTTTTACAATTAGCCTGTGCAGTTAATTTTCATTACAATGTTATNGCCTTGTTTATAATTATTATGTATTATTATTATAATATTGCATGGATTTTTATGATGTTCGCCCCAAACCATATTTTTGTTTTACTTTATATTTGTTAGTAGCTTTGTTTAATGAAAATGCTTGTGATTTCTGTTGACTGTCTGTGTGTGCCGGTGCAACGTGACAGAGAGTTCCCCATAACACACTCTGCTTCCCGTTCATTTGTACAGACGAGACTTGCCCTAGATTTTGACCCACTTAGATCAGACTAACTCTAACCATTATAACTATATGGAGGGCGGACTTTCTGTTATACGGACCCTCAGTTTCGTTACACCGGCTTCAGTATTTAGTTTTTTTAATGAGATTTTTAAAGAACTTCTCAACGGAATGTATATGAAGACCGTTGTATGATCAACGTGGTTATTGTCATTGTTACTTTGTTCCATTTGTTTGTAATGTATATTTGACAGTTTTTCTATCTAACTTCCAAGTACATCAAGCCACCCTTTTCTTAAGCACCTTAAGCTTTTGTCACTTAGTTCACTTAAAAGCTTAAATGAAAAATAAATGAAGTCCAAGTATGTTGGATCCACAATGGCTGGCGATGTAATTTTTTTTCCAAACCGACAAAACATTTATGGAAAATACATGTCATTTTTTTTTTACTCGAAAATGTTCAAATACGAGATATTTCATGAAAAACGTAATATCAGAAATATTTTTCAATTGATTGTTATGCCGATTAAGCTGAATCGCCAGATCTCATTATTTGATTTCAGAATTAGTCTCTAAGTTACGGTATTGTTTAACCAGTGTTGTCCAGAAAATATTTACTCTGCGGCTTTGAATTGGTTGACTTTTATTATCGGTATTACATCGGGCGAGGCAGTTCGTCAGTTTCAGGAAAGATAGTGGACGGAGAAAACCTTAGGAATAACGAAATAAATTATTAAAGCGCATCAGGTATGTTTGTTTTGGAGATTCTTATTTAGCGACATTCTGTTTTAACTTTCATAATTAATCAACAACATTCATCTCATATTTATTAAGTTTTTTTTTCTGAAAAGCACTTAAAATAAAGGGAAATATTTATGCATATAACTGATTTGCTGTTCACACTATTAGATAAATGAATTCAACAAAGGAAAAAAACAGTTTTACAATTAGCCTGTACAGTTAATTTTCATTACAATGTTATTTTAGTTACCAAGTCCCGTCTTTTTGGCCTTTCGTTGTGAATATTTACTTTGCGTTAATTCTTTAAAAAGTTTTTATTTTAGTTTTTAGGATGGAGCAGAAATCAGTGGTTGTCACACAACCTGGTCACGTGGGGGCCCCTCATATGCCACAAAACGTCCGTTCTTGGTCTACAGGACTCTGTGGCTGTGGTTCCGACTGTAAAAGCTGTAAGGAATTCCTCCTGTACAATATTTCATAAAAAGACTGTAATTCATCACCTTTTCTTTTGTATTTGCCTTAAACACTAGTCGGTTCCCACATGTTCCTCTGTAATCATTTTTTCCATGTCATCATTTTTCTTTGTCATCAGATTTTATATTATGATGTTTTTGTGATGTGAAAAACAATCTCTCTCTCTCTCTCTCTCTCTCTCTCAGGGTGATATTGAGAGGGGACGTGAAAAGGACAGAGACAGAAAGAGATAAGTAGATAGAGACACGTGGGCCTAAATGATTGTACGTACAGGTACACGCACCTACTTAAAACAATCTTCTTTGTAGGCTGCTGTGCCATATGCTGTTTGCCCTGCATGCTCTGCTCCTTGGCTACACGCATGGATGAGAACTGCTGCCTGCCATTCTGCTGTGGACCACCCGGCATTGCCGCTATGAGGACAAAGCTTAGAACCATGCATGGGATAGAGGTAACGCCACACTTGAGCAAATTCAGTAACTGAATACATTTTGGTAGAAAAATTAGTATCGGTTTCAAGTTAATATTTTATGCCAAAGGTACCAAATATATAATACGCGTCCGACCTTTATATTAAGGCAAAACAAAATTCCATGAAATCACGTTTCCATCTCATTTAGGTCAGCGCCTAAAAATACCGTGAAATTTTCTAACATTGTATGCCTTGAATGACGGTCCTAACAAGATTACCTTGTTGAACAGCTTTAAGTAAGTTACAAAACAAATAACACGTGCCAGGCGAATACAGCACGTACTGTGGCATAGTTGACATTTTACGCACGTGTCCAAATTTCTTTCAGGGATCTATTTGCGGCGATTTATGTGCCACAGGGCTTTGTGGATTGTGCGTGGCTTGCCAGCTGTCCAGAGAGATGGACCACGTTGGGATGTAAAATTCTTACATAATTGCATAACAGCATATAGATTACGTCATGAAAAGTAGAGGAATCGTATGGAGCATACTGAAATTATAATGGATCATATCTGGAAACCTCCAATCGAAGTTTATACATTAAACTTTTTATACATTTAATTTTTTATTTTTGTCGTATCTAAAATGGAGCAATGTGCCGTGCAAAGTTTCTCAAAAATATAATAGTGTGAAAACTAATAGCAATAATGGGGCATACTTTTTTCATTCTGTTTCAAAGGACACGTGTGCATATCCTGTCTGACTTAATGCACAGAAACGATTCGAAAATGGGTACAAACATCAGTGCCATCAAATATAATATGAAAAGGAGATAATTCGTTCGGCCCATGAAAACTCTTTCCTGCTCACCCACACACGTCCTTAAGTTGTGCATAAACGGGCAGTCCTAGACACCAGAACAATGGTCAAACAAGAGTAATCAGAAAAAAATTCTCGTTGCCGGAAATGGACGCTATGCATTTTTAGATTGAAATATTTGCACTGTGATTTCCCTGTAAAATAGCTCAATATAGATTCTATAATTGATTTTTGTAATGTTAATTTACATTTGCAATATAGTCTACTAATATATTTTAATTACCTTTTTTGTGACTGTGTTTTGTAAAATAAATTCAATTTTTTCTTCTACTTCTTCTTCTTATTGTTATAAGGCCCATGTGACACTCTTGCGAATTTGAAAACAAACGATTAAGTTACTCAGATTCAGAGGGTTGATATTCCACTAATATCTTTACGTCATATCATAAAATAGTATATTTTAATATTATACTTATCAGCGTTAAAAATTACAACTTTCAATTCCACGAGTTTGGCTGAACTTATTTACATGATTATAAGTTTTCTTACATCAGTATCCATTAAGATTCTCACAATTATAGTTTAAAATTGTAATTAAAATTGTAAAGGCGTTTTGCTAGGCGACCCTTCACAAAAATGCATTAGGCCTACTCTTTCAGAAACGCACAAGTGAGGCACGGCATTTTTGGAAAAAATTAGGTAAAAAAATTGTCGACAAACTGTTTTAGTGTCCCCTACAACAAGCTTCCTATGTTGATCACCTTTCCTCCCCTCATTTACAATTTGGGATTTTCACAAAATTTACGCACCTTACACCCCCCTCCCCCCCCCACCCCCCTCCGAATATTTTTCATCAGCGTATCTCCTGAAAACTAGGAAGGAACTCAACTTCCTTGCAGTACATTGGTAGGAACCGAAGTGACTGCAAATTTCAGAACTGGTTATAAGTTAGGGAAAAGTACTTTGGGAGAACTTTACGCGTATAGGCCTATAGTGTCAATAATTGGTCATAAATTTAGCTATTGTCCAGAAAAGTGCCCTGAATGCTATCGGATCCATTGATTAGAGTTTATATACTGAAATATCTGGATATGGTCCTAAAGAAGTAAAACAAACACTCGTAGACATTTGGTTGACAAAGAGACATGCACTTGGCAGGTCATTGATAGGAACTCCACGTTCACAACGTCCTATGAATGTAATATAAGTTACAGTTTGTTTTGACCTGCAACAAAATGTATTATGCAATATGGTTAGTTATGCGAAGTATACATGTAAAATTTGCATTATTAAAATGAAAAAGTTCAAGCCGATCCATTTTATTGGATTCAAATTGAAATTGTACATAATGGTTGTCACGTTACTACCGACGACTTTTTGAAGTGCGTAGAAATTATCAATTAATAGAAATCTGGAGGATAACTATTTCACCTCTACATCCAAATGCTGGCTAGAGAAGAAGAAATCAAATATCACTTATTCAGTAAATGGTAGAGTGAGATAGTGAGATGTGAAAACGGGGTGTGGTCCTCACTATACCCAAGCCAGTGTCTATTGTCTATCAGTTGTGTCGCTGAATGCGGTAGAGAAGACGTCCGATAGCGACGTTCGGTTTGCCAACGCAACATAAAAAACGCGTTTAGAAAGTTTTTGATATAGTTTGATTTCACTGACGATGCGTAGCAGATATACATAAAAAGAGATTGCTGGCCGACAAAATTTTAATACAGACCTGTTTGGATTGCAGCAATCATTACGGAGAAGACGCCTAGTGTCGTAACTTAAAACGAACATGTAAATGCTTTATGTTTCATGTTTTATCTGCTGTGCAAATCTGTGATATCCTTTAATTTTTTCCTTTGTAACAGCGCTTAAGTTATTTAAAAAAAAAAACCAAGGTCAGACATAGGTATTTTTTATTCATTTCTACGAGAAGACCCCGTAGATAGCATTTGCTTTAAGGTGAATAACTTCTGAAAATGTTTCCAACCAACCATAAACAGATCGTTATTTAATATTAAGTTGCTATAATTGTTACCGCTAGAGAAACAGCTGAAGAGTTAACTTAATTATCTGACGCTAAGGGGAGTCGTTATTTCGTTAAATTCGGTCAAGATTCTCTTAGTAATGGCACAGAGCGTGTGTTAAACGTGGTATCTAGACATACGTGTGCGTGTTCAGATGAGTCAATGACATTTGGGTAATTGAATAAGTGCAGTGTCACTGTCCAAGTGAATAGTGCTCAATCAAACAGATCTTCAGACATGTAGGTCATTTATAGCGACTAGACATGGCACCGGTACGTTAATCTTCGTCTCTCATATTTCCTTGCTCTACTTCTCCAGTTTACCCTTATTAGTTATCATTCTTCTGTTATACATCTTGTCAACCTCTGTAAATGACCAGTTTGGGTACCAGTAACTCGCTCTGTTTTTTTTCTCACATCTCTTACTTTCACTTTCTGTTGACTACAGTTTCGAGCTACGGACTAAATTTTCTGATCGGAGATTACAGAATCTTCACGATTAATTCCTTCACATATTCTGTATCTTAATCATTTCTTCAGCTTTGCTTTACTAGTGTTGCTGACCTTTTAGATGACGATGCGATCTAAATCGAAGTTTGGCAAGCATGTCAAAAAGGTAATAAAATCTATATGGCACAACATTAACACATTTATAAACGCTATGTAGGCCTACACCGCTTTTCTGTGGGTCTGTTTATCGTGGAATCATTCCACCCTGAGGGTCAAAGATTACAGGGAACTCGCCTCTATCATCAGTATGCCTCCGCCGTTTTAAGTAATCTCTGACACTTGGGGTGAACCAGCTCCCAGTGGAGGTATCAGGACCATAACCCCTGCATTCGAAAACATTGCGTTGTTAATGGACCCAAAATTCCATATTATATCATCCCAGTTTTGCTAGACCATTTCCCTCTGATGTAACCTTTGTGTAGTAAATACAAAGCGAATTGACATCATAACTGATAGTGCTTTTACAACACTGAATAGTCTTAATAATCCAACAATCTCAATGCTCGTGCAATGTAACACTTATTTGTTTTCTGGGAGAGAGACCGTTTCCATCTAATTGAATTTCTTCATACTAAGTGAATATGGATGAGACAGCAAACATGACAATTTTCTACAAGACTGAGTAGATCCGAACAATTATCCGAAACGTCGGCGTTAATGGATTGTAACACTAATTGTCTTTTGGAAATAAATTGTATGCTCTAACTATTCTGTCATTCACGGCTGATAGTCACCTAATGAATAATTTGATGGCTATATTTGATTAAAGGCCATTTCAATCATTTATTTTTGCACTTGTCGCGTGTTATTTTCTCAATTGTAGAACATACTTCTACGTTGATCTGCCTAAGCTTTGACGCCTTTAATATCATGTGCTAATCAATTTCAATGAAGCTCAATGAAACAGCGTTTTCCTGAAATACAGAGCCAAGGAGAACAAGTAGGCCTAATCAATGTGTTTGCGTACAAAGCAATGGCCACAGCTTTATAAGATATACAATACGTCAAATTAACACGCTCTGTCATCAGAAAACATAGCCTGGCAATCAACTAGTGACAGGATGAACTAGAACAACACCTTGCATATAGTATTCCTTTTATGCCAATTCAATTGTAACATACAACATATTACATCGATCTCTCCCCATACTTGCGTCGCCTGCTTACAATTGGCACGTCCCTTGCGGCAAATCACCAGGCTCTCATGCTGAACGCATATGGTCTGAGTAACCATGATCCCATTAGTCTTTTTAATGCATGTTTTTCAAGAAACCTCTCCTTCCACAGGGAAAGTCTTGTAAGACTTAATAAACACCAAGTATCTTGATATCCTTTCATGCTGGACGATAAGCTAAACCTGAAAATAAACACTCCAGTCAGGATAATTGTCACACACACGAGCGTTCTTTTTTTTTTTTGTATACTTCAGTTGTGCGTGCGTGTTTGTCTTTAGATAGATAGATAGATAGATAGATAGATGGATGGATGGATAGAACACCGCCAAAACAGCTAGTGTGTCATCGACTGGCACTTATGGATCAAACCTACTCGTCGAATATGAATAACATATCGAATACATTTAGAACTAAAAATGTGTATTTTAATAAATATTAAAATACCCATACTGCCTACTAGAATCTCTGTGTTCGTTAATATCATAACGAAGATTTGTTTCTATACATAAATGAAATACTCAAACTGATAATGGAACAAAAACAAACCATATCGTGCCCACGCAGCATTTCATTCGCAGTTAGTCAAGTGCCTTCCTGTTTGCTTTACATTTTTTCCATTAGTTGTCAGCTGTCAGCAATGAATTTTTTAATACATGGACAATGTGTCGTGTTTGTTTGCAAAGTTTGACTCACGATTTATACAAACCATTATTTGTTGGCGACAAATCATACAAATTGGATGACACAGCGTGCCGTCTCTCCCACTTTGCCGATGTATGATTGTCAAAGAACATGTGCTGTTCCAAATGGTGATGGCAGTGAATAGAAATCGACCTTGTACGAGATGGAAGTGACAAAGATTATTTTCCAACTTTCTTGACCGCGAACCAGTTCACTTGCAGTGCTCAAAGTAGACTCCCACTACATAACAGGCTAAAACAGCGTTGAAAACGTAGATCGGCCCGAATGCGTGAAGAAGGTGATAGGTAAGGCCACACTTTTTTATTTTTATGGATGACATCTTCTGGGTACNTAGAACAAACGATTGCAAGTTTGGTTAACACTAATCATTGCCATCGCCTGTAGACCTTTGCGCTCTTCAATGGTATACGTTTCCAAAACATTTTGAGAATGATTGCAATGAATGTCAATATTTGTTGCATTTTTAGCTGCTATGGTTTAAATTGACATTTCCATGTGAGATAGCTTTGGCATTGGTTACCTTGCCAGTGTTATCAAGGTATTTACCAGCCATGGCTTCAATGTGGTGTCCAAATGAAAGTGAAAGTAGATAATTATACGTATCCTTAAATCACGTTTCTAGTGGATAACCTATTGATAAAAGGAGAAATAGTTCAAAATAAGTTTCAAAATTCAAATTAAAAGAAGACCGATCCTTATGTGTCCGACAAGAATTTTAATTGTGATTGCTATTATCATTGTAATATATCAATGTCGATTGCACCTCCTTGATTTACAAATGTAGCGCGTGCACTTTGCTTTAGAACATTCTAGTGTGGTTAAGGCTGTGATTACATTAAGTGACAAACTAATGACTTTTTAAAATAATTTTCCAGCAGCCAATTCATAAGTGAAGGGGGCTTTTGGATCCCTGTAGACCAGCAGAAGTGTTGAGTGGCCAAGAAACCAGACGCCTTAAGGACACCGTTTGAAAAAATCGAATTGCTACAGCGTGTAACATTTAACTGTGAAAAGAGCGGAAAATCAGAAAACATACTGAACATTCATGTGATATAGAGTCTTGCAATTTGTGCGTGCTGTGTAGGCCGACTTTACAACTGAGCTGCTTTGTTCAGGAAGCATGCAGCTTGGTTTTAACAGGGCAATCCGAGAAGCTGTAATAAATAATATCCATTCTCACGCCCATTTGCAAAGGATGAAAGGAGATACGGACATTTTACAAAATACTTTTCATTTATCAGATTGACTAAAGGGATATGGTTTGGGGCCTTTCCTACCATCACGCTGATCTACAGTGATGACTTCATTTGTAGGCCAAATACTCTTTATTACGTTGTGTACCTGAAGGTATCGATTGAAGCAGCGGAGGTTTACTCTACAGGGATTTCAAAATGTTCACTCCTACTACTTGATTTATAACAAGCGCTTATTGACAATTTCCCCTCATGGTAATCATCGATCTTAGTATTACAGTTGCATTGTTGATGACCTCTTATCGTGGTTTCATCATTGTTCCTGGCCAATGGATAAGTAATTCTTTTCACGGATCTGATCACGATTGTGGTCACTGAGGACGAAAATGCAAATAGTACTGTGAAAATGAGACAGCAATATAGGCGATAATTGCTACCAGAAAGCCTGCGCCGTATGCACTCAAATGGGCACCTGTTGTTGTGCGATATGAAGATATCTTGCGAGTATGACTATGCTTACTGTCACCGATGTTTTATAGCAGAAAGAAATTGCTTCAGGTATCATGAGTAGGATCAGGTGTACTGGTATATCCAGAATCACTACTTATTAAACAATCATAAACCAGCAGACGCGTTTGTTTGACAGCGGAGGAAGTACCACAGGAGTGATTTCTTTCTTGGCACCAATGTCTTGGATGTGATATATAGTTACTACTTGTTTTTCTTTTTCACACTGGTAATATTGTGTCCACGGAGAAGTAGTGCAGCAGCACAGCATATGCTATACACACACATCCACTAGAGAGCAAGCTTTCATCACAGAAACCAAAATGGAACTTCCAGAAGTAGAATATTTATCACTCACCGCAACTGAATTACAAGACCCGGTGTCTCCGACAGAAGAAGAGACCATCATTTTGAATGTCGGCGGGGTGAACCACGAGGTTTCCTTGGAAACATTATCAAGCAAACCAGGGACAAAATTGTCCAATTTGAGTGTGCTCAAGCAGCACTATCGCCCGACAAAGAAGGACTATTACTTTGATCGCCACCCAATGATATTTCTAGCCATCTTGAACTATTACAGAACGGGCGAACTCCACATACCTCTCCAGTTTTGCGGCCCGTCAGTGAAAAAGGAACTGGCTTTCTGGCAGATAGACGAGACACTCATACAGGAATGCTGCTGGATAAATTATCATGAATATCAGGAACAGAAGGAATCTCTGATAAAGTTTAATGCTTTTTTCTCCAATGATGAAAACATCTACAAAGATATAGAGGACACGAAATGCCCACTGTGGAGACGCCTGAGGCTGATGGCATGGCGGACGCTGGAAGAACCGTGTTCGTCATTGGCGGGCAAGGTAATGTTACCTACTTTGAAAGTGTCCACTGCTATTTCGTTTTTTTTTTAAATTTTGTTTGGGCAGTTTTACTGCCATTCGTGGCAGCACAATGGAGCAATTTATATCTGGATGATCCAAAGCTCGTGTTAAATTGAGTTAATATCAAGTTCGCATTCGTTAAAGAAAATATCTTTATCAACTTTCCGTTGGTCACTTTCCTCCGCTTATCCACAGTTGCTATCGTTGCCTCACATTATATTTGCAGAACCACTTTGAATGTTCATTGCCCTTAGTAAGTAGACCCTGAGTGAATCATGTCTCCAGATCCACTTGTTAATGCCATTTATGTTGTAGCAGGATAGAAGAGACAAGTCAGAAAGTTGCAGCATCGTTACATTTATTCGGTTTCGAGTCATTATTTTAGAGTGACGTGGAGGGATTCGTAATAGTTCCCATTATTATTATTATTATTATTATTATTATTATTATTATTATTATTATTATTACTGTATTCTGTATCAAATTGACATATTCTAAATGACCCATTGATTGCTGTCACAAGAAAGGTTATTCAGTACAATGAGAACATAAGATTATCTGTAGATTTCCTAAAACGTTGCACTTAATTTATTTTACTTTTGTCTATTATATATGTAACATTTGCTTTTAGAAATGGTGACCTCGAAAACATATCACCAGTCACACAGTTATTTTTTCTTTGGCGTGTGAAGCGTGTATGCCTTGTTTTTAACGTCTTTAATTGCAACCAGAAAGGCCACGAAACGCCAAGAATATGAAACCCCGAACATAAAATATTACGTGATGAAATAATTAAGTTACCAATATAAATAGTACGCAGATACATTTACATCACGTTAAAGGAATCAAATTACTGTTATTACCACTACAGTAAGCAGACCAGGTTCCAAGCAAATATTCCCGTAGGACCTTTAGACACAATGAGGCACAGTGACACAAAGCAAATAGCCAGTCAATTAGTGGATTATTTTCGGATTACACTGCCTATTCATTACGCTTGGGGAGAATTTTAACATACGTTTATCTCAAAAACGTTAGCGGTTCATTGCCCCAGATGACACTTTCCGAATACGATGTCTAGATCTGCTCACTTACTATTACGTGTAGGGTATTGCAAATGAGCGAAACTTTGCCTTATGAATAGCAATTATAGTTGGCTATAAATGCTCCATTGAAACCTTTAAGTAATTTATTCTGCAACAGCAGTGACAACCTCAGTGCGTAAATTCGAAAACTGTTTTTATTTTCTCCGGAAATGCTGACACGTAATATAAAGGTGAACTTTGATAAATTTTGGTTATTAATATTTAAACTTGCATTATTTTGATATAAATTGTCACCTATTCATTTAATGTTTCGAAAACTTCCTGTGCCCTAGCACGATAACACAACCTTATGTACGACAGCAATAATTATCTTATCAATGTAACGTTATACACAGGTCTCTGAAGGTGACTCAGTAACAGTACGTTCACAGACAGACAGCATACAATACAAGTTAGACAGTCGTATACGTCTTAAAAATGCCTTTTTGAATCTCTTGAGATCCACTCGTGGCAGTAAAATTAGAAACTTAGAATTTAAAATAAGGTAAATACATAAGTCGCAATATTATCAACGGTTATGGATATGGTATGCCTGAAATCCACAAAAATTGCAATATTTAAAGTTAAGCGTACAACGAAAGCTGATAAAAGTCATGTTCTTGGTAATTACACCATTGATAGCGAGGACATAAAAGAGAGGTTTATGATACATACTGTAAAAGCTGTTGCCTCAAGCTTCTTATCAAAAATACTACTAGGGCCTCTATACCAATCATTTAATCACATAGAAGTGCTGTTGGTGTTTTTCCGAACTCATTTGGGTTTGATAAAACAGACAAGAATGCAATCAATACCTGACAAAAGAAAAACATAACACAGCTCTTTCACTTTCAAGTTTATTTTATATAATTCACCAGATAATGTAACGCTGTCAATGCTAATGACAAAATTTATCATAGTCCACATTTTCACAGTAAATCCCTATTTATTCCAGTTCTAATTCAAATAATAGGCCTAGACGACATGAAATAAATGATGATTGTGTTTTTTGTAAAATGAAGTGAGCGTTATAAATGGTTGCTTCATGCATTGCATCGTTTGAATAAGCCATGTTAACTTTATTAATCATAGGCAGTGAAAAAAGCCGATATTCGAGATAACGCTCGGAGGCTCTTAACAGCATAAAGAGGCAATTAATTTTTCCTGCCCAAACAGAATTCACGAATAGATCTAGTAAAGAAAAAACGTCTGGATGCAGTGTATTGAATGAATGGGAAAGATGTAGTGATGTAGTTGGCAATGGGTACTAAAAATAAGGAAATTGCGATTCAAATCTGTTTCAATGAAGTGTTTAACGCCAATACGTCGCCCCTTTGTCTGAAAATGCACCCTGCTAGTTCATGGTGTTGATCATAAATGGCCCCTACTCTGTTCTGTCTCTATAAAATGAGTGGACTTCTTTAACCAAAGCCTACTGTATTGAGAGGGTAGTTAATAACATAGAAATGGAATACATATATTTCTTGCCAAACGTGTAACAAATGTTTTAAAACATTGATTTTCGGTTTGTAATTTCCTTGATAATTGGCAATAAAATACTTTCTTATTTATTAATTCATATCTTAAAAGAAAAATCTGCGGAAAACTAGCATCAAAGGTTTATCAGTAGTCCGCAGTGTCTGGTAGATCCGTTACACACCACCAAATGTATATTAGCAGTCGACTTATGGGTTATTAAAGGAATATCAACTACACGCTTTTCATCATTTGGTTGAAAGTAACCCAGTGCAGCCAATATTTTGGGTAAAGGTTTTTGCAACATATAAGTTAACCCTACACTTGTAACATAATGATAATAATGGCAATCAAACACGGGGCCCTTATATGTTCTTCTGGTGACCTTTAAGTTACAACGTTTTTGGCTGCCAAACAGTTTCATATGCTATTCTGCTTATCATGCTTTTTACAAAATGTCTCTTTTTTCATGCCAGGTGTATGCCGGGATCTCTCTGATGATGGTCCTTTTGTCCATCTCTATCTTCATGTTGGACAGTCACCACATTCTGGACGTGAGGCCGCACGACGGGGCGTGGAACCTGACCATGTCGCTCTTCGGGACATCCTACGAGGAATACCAGGACCTACAAGACCACATGAGCGGAAAACATGACAATGCCTCTCACGCAATCGGTGACGACGTGAGGTTCAATTTACTGCATCCCGCTGTTGAGATTTTAAATTTCTTTTGCGCTGGTTTTTTCACGCTGGATCTTTTAGCGCGAATTATCTGTTGCCCGAGGTTCCGGTTATTGGTGTCGCCTCTGATGTGCATCGATGTTGTTGCCTTGGTCCCATTCTATGTGGAACTGATTCTAAATATCTGCCGACCGGAAGAACTGTATAAACAGTCCGTTTTCGATTTTCTCCAGCTTCTCCAAATTGCTCGAATATTGCGTATATTTCGCGTTGCTAAGCATTACACAGGTATCAAGGTGATTCTTTATGCCCTCAAGGAAAGTGTATCGGAAATTATCCTGACTATAGTCATGCTATGCATTGCCATGATCTTATTTGCCTCGCTTATGTTTTATGGAGACAACGTTTATAACGAAAGTAGTAAAATCGAAGACATTATGATTGGCTGTTGGTGGGCGGTCATAACTCTAACGACAGTGGGGTACGGGGATAAAGTACCAACGTCCGGCATCGGTTACGTCGTTGGAACGGTGACTGCGTTCTGCGGCGTGTTACTTCTTGCAATGACGATACCCATCATCGTGAGCAATTTCTTGTTGTACTACGCGCAATCGCAATCAGACAAGAAAAAATGCAAGACGAAGAAACCAGAGAAGGAGGATGACTGTGATGCATAGCCACCCATTTCGCTAACGCTTTTTATTTAAATGTTTAAAATTGTCTATTATTATGCCAAAATCAAATATGTACCCACTTGGGCCTATTATATAGGGAGGTATTTGTTTAACCTTTTCAAAATTATAAACATGATATAAATATTGTGCTGTTGTGTTATGGATTTCATTCACTTATCAACAGGACATCGTACCCTTTGTAACGGATTGTTGATTGTTCCTTTTGCCACACTATTTCAATAAACGCGTCCTTATTGCTGTACTAAAACATGTATTTCTTATATTTGTTTATGATTTTGTAACTTACGGTTGACTTTCAGCTTGTTTTAAGCTTGAAAAAGTGGAATCAAATTATAGATTATAAAAGAAACCCAAGCTAAATGTCGATTGTGACGTTTCCCTCATTTCAAGGACTGACATGGTTACTGGTTATAAATGCTTGGCAAATAAACCAGCTTAAATAATATTTAAAGGAAAAGTTGCCCTGAATACACCTTTAAATGCATCAATTGGCTAGCAAACTTGTTCATAATGAACCAAAAGAAAAAGCATCTTACGAGGAAAATAATAACAGAATATCCAGGGTAATACATTCTGTCGGAAATAATGTTTTATTAAATATTTAAAAAGCACAAGAAAGACAAAATTTTGACGCGTGTTGTAAAACACAGGAGGTAAGCCTACCCAGTAGAAAAGTACCTCTACGCATAAGATAGGTAATGTGTAGACCTACTATGTGATGAAATTACTACTCCGTCATTCACTGTGCAAAAAAAATAATTTGTTCAAATCAAATTATTAGATCTATAGAATATGTTAATATCAATGTACTTGTATAGTAAGGAGTGTCCATTTTTATAATTTTTTTATGTTCGTTTATATTGGGAATTATATGTAGGCACCATCGACATAAAAGAAACCGAGAAAAGAATATTTATACAGCAGCAAAGAGAGAAAGAAGGGGAGAGCGTTTATTTTCTTTCTCTCCCGATCTCCCCCCCCCCCCCAAATAAGAATAATAATGAATTGGGCGGTGATTGCACAATCTCAGATGATATCATTATGGATGAAAAAATAAAAGAAAGAAATATGAAACAGATCTAAACAATGGAACCTGTAGATCAATATGCTACACAGACAAGGATTTGGTGATCCTCTATAGGTGACGTCACACTAAACTCGCAACAGGTCGTTGTCATGACTCCAGTGTCGTTCTTATTGTTGATAACCATTGTTCACAACAGTACCATCGTTTGCGATAATATAACAGCTGACGTCATAATGTAATGACAACATAGTGACATCACAGAAGAGGTCATTTCCATAGATATCGTATACGAATCATAGATGGAAATAGTGATGGAGAAGATGAATCGGTTATATTTTGAAATAATTTACCATGCGAAGTAGCGTTTATCATCATAACAAAATAAGAATACTCTTATTTGAAGAGTTGTCCTTTGAAGAGCAATGGGACAAAATCCACGGTGATCTCATTTTGATGGTATGTTTCGCTCTGGGGTTGATACTAGCGTACCTCTTCTTCTATGTGAAAGGTAAGTCAGTATTCACTGATATTAGATAATATAACTCTAAAAATATTCCTTGTATCATATTACATCATTCTTTGTTTGTCAATTTAAAAAACATTATGGTCTATTAGTTAAGTATAGGTCTTAAAGGAATGAAACCCACCCTGAGAGTCAGAGAGTTGACCGTTGCCATATATCAGATTCTTCCTGCAACCGAAGAACTACTGGCGATATTCATGTTTATAATCTGCATCTTCATGATCTCCCAGTTGTCTAAGTGACTTTAATTCATGACACCTCGTTGTTAGGCATATGTTGTCCCCAGAGGTGTAGAGAGCTGGTCATATTAGATGTTACCTTAATCCAAGTATGGGTAGCCGAGTGGATTGCAATATTACAGTAGTATTTCGTTTTAGACTGCCTTTGTCATTAACCCGAGTGTTATTGAACTGATTCTAATTTCAACTTTATCTTTAAATGGGGTAATCTAATATATAGGTATGAGAAAACTGGTGGTTATTTAAGCTGCTGGCAAATGTTTAATGAAAAAAATGTTGTACATCATTTCTTTTTCAGTTGCCTTTCACAAGAAGAAACACAGAAAACGAGGTAAGATTCTCTATACGTTCACTGTATAGGCCCTACATTTCTTTTATTTATCTTAATGCTCATATTGTTTGTAGCTTTTCACGTTTTATGAGTTCAGCAAAGACACATGTAGATTGCAATCGGGGAGGTGCACATTGTGAACATTTACTCCAAACCTCACTTTTATCATAAAAGTTACGAAGATTTTGTTGATTGATTTAGTCAACGTGTTGTTGCTCTATTATAGCCGCCCGCAAAAGAACCGCTGCTAAGACGCGCCGCTACAGGAACAACCGTGCGGTCTTGTTGAGACGGGTAAGATTTAGTAAAACAACAGCACTGGTGTTCTTTTCTTACAATAAAAATATGCTTTAATATGCTGCCAGAGTCAAGCTTGATATATATATATATATATATATATATATATATATATATATATATATTATTGCATCATTTTTTTCAAACCAAAGCCAGTGTCATTTGATCTTTTTACCATTACGTAATGGTACATGTACATGCATATCGAACTTGAAAAGAGATTACTCTGCTTAATCTGCGGAAAACTAATTATTTAATAACGAAAACTAAATCTGAGCGAATCATAAAGATGATTAATATTTATAATGAAACTTATTTCTTAAATTTTAGCCCCGTCTTCATGTTGAACGGATGAGAAAATTTAAAGACTTGAAAGTTAGATGTGCACATGGAATTTGCAGAAATGTTATCAGGATGAACAAATTCCAGAATGGCCGGGTACAGGTTCTGATAACTAAAGTGGATGTTAGCGCTTAGATGAAAAAATTGTTTCTTTGATAATAAACAGATAATATATAATAATATTCATTATAAATACCGATAGATATATGTCAGAAGTAAGAAATGCTATCATTATTTCACTGTAGGTCCATTCCCTAGTAAAGCGGCACATAAAAGAATGGCAGAACCAAAGGGCTGTGGCGGTTAGAGAAGTAAGTATTCTGATATAAAGGGATAATATAGGCGTTTGGTATATATATATTGTTTTTAACAAAGTCCAATAAGAGTAGGTGCATCCTGAATACAGAATAAGATTGCTAAGCATTAGATCTTTCAGTGGATGGATATACAGGGGTAGTAGCCGAAACCTGTTATGACTCGCAAAAACATGAACAAGCTTTTATGCTCTCCCAAACTTGAATATAATAGGGCAACTAATCATTCAAGAAAATAAAATAAATAAAACATCTGATCAAACTTTCAAATGGTAGTTAATTTCTTTTCAATTCAGCCCCACGTTCACGTTGAACAGCTACGGAATTTTGGAGACCTGGAAGTAACTCGTTCACTTGAAATATGCAAGCATATAATCAAGGTTGACAAATTCCAAAACATCCGTGCACAGGTATGTTATTATTATTATTATTATCATTGAAAAAGTTGTGAACTCTTTCTTGATTTATGATAAAATTTACAATATCCATTAAAAAAACAGATGGATATATGTCAGAAGTAATGTAATTCTTTCACTGTAGGTCCACCCCCTGGTAAAGTTCTACTTACAAGAATGGCAGAACTCACGGGTCGTGGGGATCAGAAAGGTTTGTATTGTGATATAAAGAGATAACATATGCATCAAAACTTCAATGTTTTTTAATCGATTTAAAAGTGTAATGCCAGTAGATGTTGAAAGATTATATATAGAATGAGGTGAATGGCCGCTATAGCCATTAGATTATTTTTGCGGGAGGGCGGGTAATGTTTTCACCATAAAATACATGGGCTACCTTCGATGTTGTCCCATTCATTTATATGATAGGACGACCTATTATTCAAGTTAACCTTAAAATCTATGAGAAAATTTAACAGCTTATCAAAATTCAAAATGACACCTATTTTCTTATTAACTTAGCCACACGTCCACGTTGAACAGCTACGAAAATTCGGAGAGCTGAAAGTCACTCGTTCACTTGCAATATGCAAACAGATAATCAAGGTTGACAAATTCCAGAACATCTGTGTACAGGTATGTTTTATCGTTCTTATTATTAAAATGGTTTGAAGGCATATACATGTGCAGTGAATAATTTGTTTCATCGATAATAAAATTATATAATACGAATCTTTTAAGCAGATGTATTTTTCAGGGATAATCCAGAGGTAATTCTGAACGTATACGAAGAAACGGTCAAAGCGACCGACCAGTTATTTAAAACTTAATTTTAATTAGAAATGATGCAAGACATCGAATTCAAAAAGAGGGACGGGTCGGTCAATGGTTCGTAAGTGGGAGAAATCGCTTTTTCATTCGAGGAAAATTCGATATCTGGGGGAAATTCTGGATATGATACCTTAATCAGGAAATCTTTTAATTCATAAATGAATTTAGATTAAAATTGCAGAATATATGGGGTTTAACAACAAACAAATGATATCTATTTCGAATTCAGGTGAATAATTTGATTGTTCAGCATACCAAAGAACCAATTACGGCCAAAGTCGTTTTACAACAGACATCGGCGAAGGAAATCGAGTTGGGAGGTCAGCCACTTCTTACACCACACCATCAGATCGAAATCTGCCATATTTCAGCCTCTCTAATATACGTTGATCCAAGTGTCATTTTATCAAGACAAAGGCATGTATCATACAGCATAGATGTGACAGATCCTACTATTTTACTGATTGGACATGTAACTAAGGAACAACCATCAGAAGAGACGAGAGAGCCAAATGTCGGGAAGCACGGGGTTCCGGTGGTTCAGCGTCTCAGCAGAAAAAAGCAGATTAAACCCAGCCCGACAAAAGAGGCAGAAACACTACAGGTACGGCATTAAATGGAAGAAATAGTTATCGTAAATTGAATTCCTAATGGTAATAGACAGATCTCAGTGACGTTGTATCATTGCGACCATATGTCCCTCTTGGGTAAAGAGATTAAGTAAGTAATGATGTTTTAATATGTATATTTAATCTAATGCCGTTTTTATATTACAGGTGGCGAAATCTAAGTCTCCCAATCTGCTATCGGAAAAACGCGCTGCAACCAAAGCCAGCTTATCAAAAGTGCGAAAAGAAAGACAGAAAAATATGGGGAAGAGA